ATTTTTGGGGAACGCCCGGTAAGCAGACCTATCCACATTCTGGATGGAATGGACGCCTCAACGTTCCAGGACGAGAATGAACCATCAGGTAGGCCTAGCATTTGTTTGTAATGTTAAATAGCTAGCTAGCCTAGGTAGGCCCTATTTCTTGTTGTGTACATAGGCCTACTATACTTTTTATTATTAAAAATCACGAATTTGGCCTAGCCTAGAGCCTGCCTAGCCTGTCTACTTATTTTTATTTTGTTTTTTATTTTTTTATTTATTTTTTTATTTAATTTAATTTATTTTAGAACCTCCTCATATTGGATGTATACTTTACTAACTAAACTACGTGTCATACTTAGGCTTATCCACCCAGGCATACTTTTCGTAGATCATCATCCTTCAAGAAATTCTTCTTGTTTGCCCTAAACAGATTCTTTTAGTTGGTAATTTTATTGAAAAAGTGGAAAAATATGTGGCATCATTAGACCTATTTATCCGATAAATCTTATTAATACAAAAATACAAAATGATATGAAATGTTTAATTTTAACGTATCATTACAGTGTCTGATGAATCAAGTGTTTTGGATGGTGCAGGAAACGAAACAGCAGAGGAGGATCTGGAAGATGTAAGCCTAGTGGCGTTTCTTCAAGATGATGATGACAATGATGATGTTGCTGCGGATTTGGTTGGAGGTACGTTCACATCTTCACTTGCAAAATTTCTTTAATGAAAATTCTCAACTATACCATTAGAATTTGAAACACACAGTAATGAAACAAAAAGTAGTATTGACATTAATTAATGTACTGTCTGGACAAGCATAACCAATATTCATAAGTATTGTTTAAGATAACAAAATCCTTTGCTGAAAATATCTGGCCCCTATCGTTAACAATTTGCCGTCATGAAGTTTGTCTGTTTTGTAACAAGAGATTATTCAGTGATCGCTTTACAAGAACAATTCTTTGGCTGCTTTACAAGAACAATTCTTTAATTACAAAATTTTTAGGCTTATTACAGTATAATCATATTACATCTTTATTAACTTTTGTACAATAGATGTTGATGACAGTCTACCGGTTGCACCAGCTATCTCTAAAGAGATAAAATCGCTCACCCCGAAAACCAGTAAGGACATGAAGAAGTCAAAAACGGGTTCAAAAAGTGAGTACTGTACTGTTACTAAGTATTTAGGTTTGAATTGTTAATGTTTTTGGCGGCAATAAAAGAAAAAAAATGTAGTCCTCAACCAGGAAATTTATCTCCCTATTTGTGATTTGTATATAAATAAGTAATTGTAACAATTTTTTATATTTATCTTTGTCAGTAATTTTTAACTTCTTGATATTTTAAATAAATTTTGTATTTCTGAGTGTCTATATAACAACTTCATTTCGCAATTCATCTCTGTGCTGCCAGTAAACATTTTATGTATGTTTTTTTTTTCTGTTGAATAAATATAGCTATTAAAAAACCAGGAAAACGCAGCACCCATAATACTATATTAAAAAACATTCAATGTACTCTCGGAACAAGCACTACCAATGTGGTATTGTAATCATGACTATTCACCAATACAAAGTCCGATGCTAGAAGTAGCAGACTCCTATCGCTAAAAAATGTGTATAATTTTCTTCCTTATATTTACAAACTTTTCAAATTCAGTTCACTTACAACACATTTTATTTAATATAGTAGATGCTGTTGTTACCCCGGCTGCTGCACCTGGTGCAAAAAAGCGAAAACCATCCAGCTCACCAGAAGAGAATCATGACAAACAAAAAGCAAAAAGTGAGTACATAGTTATGTTTTAAGAGAAATATTTAAATTTTTTTATACTTTTTTATGTATTTTTAAAATCATATTTTTCTATGTATATTTTTATGGCGACTCTGTTATTGGTGTTTGATACACTGTTGAGTTTTGAACAAATAAATAATAATAAATAAATAAATAAGAAAAAAACCACATTGCTGACCTGTCAAAATAAGGTGTGCTAAATTTCTGAACTGAAGCTTTTTATTTTGTTAAGTTAACAAAAATTGATTAAGGGGGAAAAGGTATCCTTTAAAGCACTGTTTAAATGTGTTTACTAAAAATGTTCCTTGTCTTTTTTTATTAATCATCAATTGCTTATTATTTTAATTTTTTGGAAGGTAACAAGAAAGCAAGAGCTGACGAAATGGTTTTCTCAATAAACTACGTAGACCACGGAATAAACAAATATATCATTAACATATAATCACCTATGGCAGGGTACCTCATTTAATTCCATGTCATTGTTGAGTTTTAATTTATGGTCAAACATTACCCCATTCACAATGGTTGCGACTAAATAACTACCAAATTGTTTGGTAGGCCTAAATCATTTCTCATGTTCAAACCACACTTTGAGAAATAATCGTTCATGATGAAAACTCCATTTACTATTCGAGCAAGAATTATCCGTTTAAGCGATCGCGGTTACACAGCTATGAAGATTAAAGAAGCGCTGGCCGATGATAGCATTCAGGTACACGATAGCACAATTCGACGTATATTACAACGGTTTAATATATCTCAAACAATCGCCGACAAGCATCGCTCTGGACGTCCATGCGGGTTCAACGAAGAACACTATGCGATCATAAACGAGGAAATGGAAAGAAATGATGAATTAAAAGCGTGGCGGTTAAGAGAAATCTTAGAAGAACGAACTGGATGTAACTTTTCAATAAGGTACAGTAGGAAGCATGAGTAAAAAGAAAAAAAAAATATATATATATATATTGTATATATATATGTTATAGGCCTATTCAGTATATATTCTTGTATTTGAATTTTTAGATTACCAAGTATTTATATTTATACATATTTAAAATTATGAGTACTGCTGTTATGTTATTTAACTTGTTTTTATTTTAAGATCAATCAGAAGAACAAGGCGCAGACTCGGATGGGTTTGCGAAGGAGCCAAATACTGCCAACTCATCAAAATGAAAAACAGAATCGACAGATATGATTTTGCTCTGAAATGTATTAGGAATGGGGAACAGTTTAAGCAAGTAATTTTTACAGACGAATGCACAATTGAGATGGATAGCCATGCCAGAATCACATTTAGAAAACGAAATTCGCCACCCAAACTGAAACCTAAAGCAAAGCACCCTTTGAAACTACATGTGTGGGCCGGTGTGTCAACGGAAGGGGCGACGCCAATTGTCATTTTCGAAGGAATCATGAGAAAGGAATTTTATGTAGACACAATTCTCAACGATGTGCTCCGACCATATTTAAGAACGAAGTTCCCTGATGGCAGATACCGTTTTATGCAAGACAATGACCCAAAGCATACTTCAAGATACGCACGCGAATACTTCGACCGTGAAAATATTTATTGGTGGAAGTCCCCAGCAGAGTCTCCAGACTGCAACCCGATTGAGAATATGTGGCATCAACTGAAAGATTATTTGAGAAATGTAAGTACCGCAAAGTGTCTCAACTACTGTACGTTCAAAAATCTTTTGTTGAACGCGTTCTGATGTATGTTGAACTCGTTGTAATGTATGTTGAACTCGTTGTAATGTGTGTTGAACGCGTTCTAATGTGTGTTGAACTCATTCTAATGTATGTTGAACTCGTTATACAGGAAGTGAAGCCGTTGCGTAAAGCTGAACTAGTCGCAGGAATTAAACAGTTCTGGTCTACAAAGGTGAACCGACAACTGTGTAGGCGATACATATCTCACCTTAGAGTCGTGCTACCAGCTGTCATCAGGCTCAAGGGACGTGCGACGGGATATTGAAGTAAGTATTGTTAAAGTATTTCAACTACCTCTATGTATTCTGATGCTTTTAATGTGTGTTGAATGCATTCTAATGTGTTGAACGTGTTATGATGTGTGTTGAACTCAAACACAACTTCAAATTCCAACCAACGTGAATATAATACAGTTAAAATATACATAACATATACATGAGTCTGTTTTTGTTCTTTATTGTAAAATACAGGAAGAGGACGCCACTGACCAAAGCTGAACTGGTTGCCGCGATTAAACAGTTTTGGTCTACAAAGGTGAACTGACAACTGTGAGGTATTTATGGTAAAAAAGTGGATTAAATTTTAGTTTCTTATTGTTAGGCCTACATTTATACTTACTTAGTTTCGTATTGTTAGGCCTATTGTAAAACGTATGTTTACTTATGAGTTAGTATTTGACTAAGGTAAGTTTTATTTAATTATAGTTTTGTATTGTTACAGTAGGCCTATTGTAAAACGTATGTTTACTTATGAGTTAGTATTTGACTAAGGTAAGTTTTATTTAATTATAGTTTTGTATTGTTACAGTAGGCCTATTGTAAAACATATGTTTACTTATGAGTTAGTATTTGATTAAGGTAAGATTTATTTAATTATACTTTCGTATTGTTAGGCCTATTGTAAAACGTATGTTTACTTATGAGTTAGTATTTGATTAAGGTAAGTTTTATTTAATTATAGTTTCGTATTGTTAGGCCTATTGTAAAATGTATGTTTACTTATGAGTTAGTATTTGATTAAGGTATACCTCCATGATTAAGGTAAGTTTTATTTAATTATAGTTTCGTATTGTTAGGCCTATTGTAAAACGTATGTACTTATGAGTAGACTTCAACTAAGTTAAGTTGCATTCAATTATAGTTTTTGTATTGTTAGGCCTATTGCAGAAAGTATATTTACTTATGAGTTAGTATTTGACTAAGTTTTATTTAATTATAGTTTCGTATTGTTAGGCCTATTGTAAAACGTATGCTTGCTTATGATTATATTTGACTACGTTGTATTTAATTATAGTTGAATCGTATTGTTAGGCCTATTGTAAAACGTATACTATGTTTACTTATTATGAATGGTATTTAACTAAATTTAGTTGTATTTAATTTAGCTTCTTAAAGTTCTATTTTTGATCGTTGGCTTACAGTTGAGTTTTATATAATTTTAGTTCCATGTTGTTAGGCGTATGGGGAGGATTGAGGTGGCCTTCTCGTGGCCCTTCCTGTAAGTACCAGATACCCAACTGGGAAACCAACACCTTTTATAAAATAAATGATGAAACCAAAAAGAATGTTGTAGACGAGTGATGTTTATATTGGATTATTGACTATAGTTTAAAGATGATGATGATGATGATGATGAGATAGTAAATACATACTCTAAGTATTGAAATGCATGCAGTCGTTTTGGGATTCAATGTTATATATTTTTATATTATCATTCGCTGTACTCCACAAATTATGACAATGAAACAAACTTATACATTTAAGTGCTTTAATGAAAAAAAGCAATTTAAATTTCAAACATTACATAACTGGATTTATTTACAAGATCTACTGGCCTACTCTCGCCAACCTAAATTCCATCTTTTGACGGGCCGAGTAAATAGAACACATACATTTCCATCTCTTCTCTATTTCTCCTACTGGAGCAAGCGATAACAATAAAACTTATAAAATTTATACATTAATGGCAATTTAAATTTCATACATGACATAAGTACAGTACATTTATTTACAGCAACAAGATCTACTGGCCTACTCTCGCCAACTTAAATTTCATCTGCCGACGGGCAGAGTCAATGGAACGCATACATTCCTTCCATTTCTTCTCTATTTCTCCTACTGGGGCTGGCGATATTTTAAATGTTTCTGTTTTAATTATATCCATCCTAATGGGATCTAACTTCGCGGCACCATTACGGCCAGATGTATTGCACTGCAGTCTTTCCTCGTGTGTGAAGAAATGTTCCACTAAGAATCTAGAAACTTTTAGTCTGTCATCCATATAACTTAACAGACGTCGCCTAAGTTCTTCAGTAACTGGCTGATAGGCTGCTGGCGCTGCTGGTGCTTCTGCCATAGGGGCTGCTTGCAGAGGAGCTGCTGGATGCGGGTCTGCGGGATGGGGAGCGACTTGATGTTGAACTGCCGGATGGTGAGCTGCAGGATGTGGAGCTGCTGGACGGGGAGCTGCTTGATGTGGAACTTCGCGCAGTTGACGATGCAGCGATGCTATTTCTATGCTTTGGCGTTGGATAATTGTGTTGAGCTTCTTTATATCTTCCTTCATTATCTTTACTTCGTCTTCGAGACGTCCCACCCTTTGATCACACTTATTTTGTCGCTCCTCCATTTCCGGTGTCTCACTCCAATTCGCCGAAGAAAAGTTGATTTCTTTTTCGTAGTTGTTCGTAAGTTCTTCAATAGTAGCATCGGCCTCCTCCAAATTCATTGACGGATATAGAATGAAGCGATTTGTGAAGTCGTCATCATCATCATCATTCAAGTCGCCATCGTCAACAGGCCCAGAAAGGGCAAGCACTTCAGCAGCCTGAAATTAATAAAAATTATTGCAATAGTAAAATTCCTCACTAATTGAGGTTGGGTATACATGGTATGAATCATGTATAATGCTCCTTTTTTTTTTTGCAGTAAAATGGCTGTTTTTCATTGACCATATTATTAGATTTGCCATTTTCAAGTAATAAAAAAAAAAAGTGCCCTCATCCTCCTTTTATAAAAATATTAGGACGAGAAACTACTTTTATTTTTTACTTGGCCTTATGTGCCGACCTTTATCAACAGTCCCAGTGGGTTGAACGTCTGGTAATAATAGCCTATTCCCAACCCCCCAACCCCCACATCGATATTTTATTCTGCATTCTTTTCAATTTTTAGAATGACTGACGCTATAAATCCGCTGAAAATAGCGCGGTATAAATGATAGATAGATAGATATAGATAGATATAGATAGAT